TAGAAATACCATTTATTTATCCTTACAGTCAACTGGTCTTATTGCTCCCAAAGTCCCACGTGAAAGGGATGATATAAATTCCTTCTTTGTCCCTGCTCAGTTTGTACTGAGCATCTGCACTGCATGGCAGAGGCTGAAAGATCTGAAGATGTGATGGTGGAGAGCGTTGATATGGATGCTAGTGACAGCAAAGGGGGACAGCTGTGGGTAGACAGTGGGTGGTGGATGGTGGATATCAATTTTAAAAAAGATTATAAATCGTAAACTTTTGTTCACAAGATGAAAACAAATTGAAACCTGTTTTGTGTATTGTCTGAACGAGTCGAGCTCACGACAGTATCTGTTCATTAATCTCTCCTCAAAAGAGCACTTTGCCTAAAGGAAGGAAGGGATGGGCAAATGTGCGAAATGTTTACAATCTGTGAAATGACAGGTCACCCTTAATTTGAATCTGTAAGTTAATGTTATAAACATCACCTATATTTTTGATACATGTGAAATTGCAAGTAGAAGTTCTTTGGCCAACAATTTCTGCCATAGGGCGGGCACCACTACACCCAACCAATGATTTCTGAATGAACTGAATAAAGTTTTTGTTGGGATAAAATTTTTTCAAATTAAAATTAAATAAATAAAAAATAATCCTGCCGTGACCATAAAAGAAACCTTGCTTTTGTTCCTTGCTCATAGATATAAGGTGAAATACCTATGTGAGATTTCCAAGAAAGAATTTCCTCCCTCAGAAGGTACATGCACTCCCCAGAGAAAGCCAGAGAAAGTAAATAAAAAGTAACCCCCAAGAATGCCCACACCACAATCCCCTCCTCCATCTCTCCCACCTTTCCTCATTTTGAATTTGCATACAAATTCCTTCGACCTATTTCTCAAGCAAATAGGTCTGGAACTCAAACTGGACAGTCAGCTATATGGGATTCAGCCACCTTAACCACTACAGCACGGGCTGGCCCAGAAGGACTTGAAAAAAATTAATTTGATGATCTTACCAGGGAAGATAATTTGGGAATCGAAGAGACTTAGACATTCTTAGAGACAAAAACTAAATAACATAAGAGGATGTCAAAAAGTCCACAGGCACATAGAGTTAGAGGACAAGTTAATTTTAGTGTGAAGACATTTTTGACATCCATGCATAGTTTTTTCATAATATGCATTTTCCATGAACTTTCTGAAGCTCCTGCCTCTGTAAGAATGCTTGCGGAGTCCTCCATTATGTTACTCACCTGTGGAATTTCAATGTCCTCCACCTACTCTGATACTTCTCGACTAACTTTGTCCACTTAAAAGATTTTTACTTTTTGAAGTTTAGAGAGATTATGCTGATAGAAAATTGATTTTAATCCAGTCTCAGAAGTTAATTTTAAAAAGAAAAAGAACTTTGCTCTAATGTGTCTCGGTTCACTTAGTTGTCAAATTAGTTATAACTGGAATCCGTGTTTTCTATTTTAATCTCCCAAGATGTGATGACCTCCTTTACCATAGTTATCTAGGTAAATACTACGTCAGCAGTCCCCACCTTCCCAGTACTGGCCTTGTGGAAGACTATACCTCCACTGGGGGCCGGGGGTTGTAGGTCTGGATGACCCAAGCACATCACAACCAACACGCATCCCATTTCCTTTATTACCACTTGCAGTATACAATGAAACAATCACACAGCAATTCGGTTCTCACTCCCATGAGAATCCAACACCATCGCGGATCTGACAGGAGGCAGAGCCCAGTGGGCAACGTGAGTGATGTGGAGAGTAGCAGCAAACGAGGAAGCCTGAGTCACTCACCTGCCACTCACCACAGGCCAGCACTGGTCTGCGGCCCAGGGATTGGGGACCTCTGTACTAGATGATATATCATAAGAGGGCAGATTAAACATTTTTGTTTCATTTTTGTCTTTAAACCTGAACTCCCAGCACCATAGACTACAAGTATACACTGTGGTCAACCAAAGAAGGACAAGTAAATTGAGTTAAATCTGTGGGTTTAGTTATAAGAGAAACTAGCTTGTATATAGACATTCAAAATTTTGTCAATAATTCAAAACAACTTTCTGGGCTCATTGGCCTTTTTGTTGTTTACTTTTTAAAAATAATTCTTTATTTAATTTTATTTATTATTATTTAACTTTTTCTTTAATTTTTTTATTTCAATTTCTTTTCTTTTTTTTTTGGAGAGGTTTTCACTATAGGGCATGTGCGCTCTCCAGACAGAGAGAAACAGAGAGACAGAAAGCGAGAAATCACCCAGGGGATGGCCACGCCACAATCCCTTCTCCTCCATTCTCCTCTCGGGATCTTGGGCACGCACACACACACGCCCGGCGTGAGCTTTAAGCTACCAGGTCTGGGACACGAACTGCAGTTGACTACGTGGGAGTCCTGCGACATAGCCATTACGCTAACTGCTGGTCCCTCAATTTCTTTTATACATTCAATCACATTACTTAGCGTGCAAAGTGAATATTCCAACATGTGTACATTTCTCACCAATCCAGTTAATAATACTATAAAGTTATCTTCAGTAGATAATAACTCATTTCTTTATCCCACAAATGACTTGCTTTTCTATTTTTCTTAATGACTGTCATTTTAACAAATTATTTATAAACAGTCAAGATATTATTAACACAGAAATTCTATTAAACTTGTAAGTGGCCCCATTAGCACATATAAAACACACAAGCAGAGATTTGTATATCAAGAGGACTGGGAACTAGTGTGCAGAGTCCTTAAGAATGAGATGCAGATAAGTGGATATTGAGAAGGAAAGAGCTGGTACCTAAGTCTCTCATTGAAAAGTCATGCCTGAGAAAGATGCCTCAACATGAGACACTGAACAGCCCCAAAATGCCCTAAGGGGCAAGGTACCTAGAAAGGAGGCTGACAAAACGAAGTGGGGCAGGAGTTAACTCATGCCAAAGCACCAATGACAAACTTACCCCTTTACCAACTTTCCTAAAAGTGCCACTAGCTATTAGGAAGCCCATGCTACACTTAGAAACATAAAAAGAGTAAGAATAATAAAAGGAAGCCCATGCTGTATTTTTCAAAAGTCAGCCTAAACATTTCTCTGAGGAGTTCTGCCTAGTTAATTGAATCTGCCACCTCTTTTTACCCTCACCTTGAGCAAACTCTGATAAAAACAACGCCAGCTGTCAACAGGCCAGTCGACCAATTATTCCCACTTCCACAGTCTAATCTTAGCCTATTTTCAGTCAGGACCCCATTTCTATACTCAATTAAAACTATTGCCTGAATAAAAGTATGACATCTTTGGTAACCATGTTATTTCTTCTAGATTACCAGGATTATGAAGCAATCCTTTGAATTTACCAAATTTTCTTCGAATTATCTGGATGAAGAAACTCAGCTCCCACCAAAGATCTCTTCTTTACACTGAGTGAAGTTGGTTTGCAATCTACCTGTGAGTACCACCTAAGCATATATTAATAAGTCATCAGAAAGAGATATTTGGCATAAATGAGAGGTAACAACCACCTGCCTTAGTCCCTAATAGGATAATCCCCTAAAAATGATGGCTAAAGTAGATTTAAATTTATCCAATATAATCTTGTCCTCTCTAATTCCTACAGGTGCCATGTTGGAGTTGTGCCCCATTAGGGTTGAGACTGGAATCATAAGTACAATTATCATGGATTTTTGAAGTTACACATACACTTATGGAAAAAAAAAACATTTAATTACATAGAATTGGGAGACTATTTGAGTCAAAATGGCAGGTAAACAAACATTTTAAGGGTCATTTTGGATTGTTGGTTATTTACTACTGTCACATAACATTTACAAATGCATGCTTAAGAAAATCCAGATTATGAATCTAATCCATCCATATGGGTTTAAATGTGATCTGTATTTAAAGGAAGGTTTCTAAACATATTGGAAGCAGCATTTATTTAAGCATTACAAAATTATTGTTGCTGTTAATAATACTGTAGTGAAGCTTAATCAATACATAAATGGCCACATTTTATATAATTATACTCCTTGAGATCCACTTTTATTTATTATGTAACAACCACTGAATGAATGCCAGGAATTCCATCCACAAACTTCTAATAGCCTGTAGTTAATTCTAGGTCAACAGTCAATGACTGTAACTTGACTTTAACATTTAATATTAACTCATAGTATCTCTGCAATTTAGAATATTATTTGGGGAAAAGCATAAAATTGATATATAATTAACTTCTTTCTTTTAAAAAAATGTTAAAACTTTATTTTTTAAATTGTTTTAAGAGGCAGAAATTGTTTATAGCCATTTTCTAGCTACTTTAAAATGATTAATTCCCAGTTCTGAAGTCTAAAGTACTTAGGTAACTAAAGAATCAAGAGGAAAGAGTCAAGGGAAAAATTGCTGCTCCCTCAAAGAAAGTGTTCCCCTCCCCAGACTAAAACCTTGTTCAACACATTATATTGTATCAACATTTCACCAGGACATAGATTCCACCAGAGTGTAAAATTTCTCCTATTGTCCTTTTTTTTCCTTCACTGCTGTTCCGATATTTCTGAGCTGTAAAATGCAGGCTCTGGTACAGTAGCAATAAAATTCAAATTTATCTCCTGACACCTTACTCCAGGAAAACGCAGTATTCACAGCACTAAAATATTTGTCCTGAGTGGAAAGAACCAAGCACAATGTTTCTGATTTAGAGGACTGTGCAACAGCCCTCAGAAACAGCGAGGGGTTGCACAATGTTGCAAAAGTTTTTCCAGTGCTATGTCATTCATGTGCTTGAATAGTTACAATGTTTTTAAAATATATTTAGAGGAGCTGATAAGAGCTTGTGTACAGAGTTTCAGAAAATAGAAAATAAAAGGACTCCTTCCTTATGCATGAAGTTCAACTTCAGGCATTCACTGTTACTCTGTCCTAACTTAGTGCCGGAATCCCCAAGTTCAGGATGAAGGAAAGAAGCTACTGTTCCTGACAGCCCCAAGAGCCACCTGCGATGTAGGGTTACTTACCTAAAGATGGGTCTTTGGAGATGTTTCTTCCTGATTGTGACATGTTCATCCATTTAAAGGTGAAGCTTTAACTTCTTCCTGGAAACCGCTCCTGAAAATCCAGGGAGGGAATGTGGCAACTTAATCTGATCTATTGTGCTGCAAGAAGCCCAGAAGGAAAAAGTAGTTTCCTCTTTCTCTTTTTGGGTGCTGGGAGGAAACTTCCCTGCTCTCTGCCAGCTGAGCAGTGTGTCCATAGAGGCCACATAAGACAGGCACGCTGGGGCACTCCCCCACAGAGCAGGGTGTGCAGAAACCACCAAGGGTCACGTTGATCCAGGCAAGAGAAGTGCACAGGACCCTCGGAAACAGAACTAAACAAACAGAAAACTTTTTATTCCAAGCGTCACCCAGGTAAAATCTCCCTAAGTTATTGCAGCCATGAGAGCTCTCCTTCCACATGCTGGTCAAGTTCAGAAAGGCTAAGTCCCTCCCTGTCTTTAAAACAGCCCGTTCTGAGGAGCAACTCTTTTCTTCAAAATAAAAGTTGTGCAGCTGGTTTAGCAGTCCCTTGTGAGTACCCTCTGAAAGTTTGTTCTGTTGAAATAAGAACTGTGTACAAATTAATGAAGAAAGATGAGCTTGGATTACATGGCTGGGTCTGCTTCAAGAGATTATAATTATTTTACAATCTTGCTTTTATTCACTCTGGATGAAGTGTGGAGACAAACTCATCATTTTTGGCACTCAAACCTAATAACCTACACTTGGCTGAAGTTGAAGGTGTCATTCCAGCTGATAGAAGCTCATGTGAAGCTGGCCAGAGTTACCAAAATTTGAGAAATAAGAATTGCTTAATTCTATTGGTGACATTGTACCCAGATATCTGTACCCACTAAGAGGGAAATAAAAAAAAGAAATGAAAACACACACATAATCACACACTTTTGGGGGAAAAAACCCTCAGAGCCTAAGATTTTTATATTATCTGATAAAATTTGAATTTATAAAAATAAAAGGAAAGAAAAGCAGATATAAAAGAGAATTTGGAAACAGCCAAAAATAAATGACATTAAAAATGGTTTTATTTGGGACCAGCAATTAGCATAATGGCTCTGGACTTCCATGTAGTCTATCGCAGTTCGAGTCCCGTACCCGGTGGCTTAAACACATGCCAGGCGTGTGTGTGCATGCCCAAGATCCCGAGAGGAGAATGGAGGAGAAGAGACTGTGGCGTGGCCATCCTCCCTGGGGGGTGATTTCTTGCTTTCTTTCTCTTTGTCTCTCTCTGTCTTTCTGGAGAGTGCACGTGCCCTATAGCAAAAAACTCTCAAAAAAAAAAAAAAAAAAAGAAGGAAGGAAGAAAGAAAGAAAGAAAGAAAGAAAGAAAGAAAGAAAGAAAGAAAGAAAGAAAGAAAGAAAGAAAGGAAGGAAGGAAGAAATAAATGATCTGATTTGGTCTGGAGGTGGCACGGTGGTTAAGACACTGAACTCCCATATTGCCAATAGTGGTTTGACTCTGGGACCTGTCACCTTGCTTTCTCACTTCTTCTCTCTCTCTCCGTCTCTGTCTCTCTGTATCTCTGTCTCTGTCTCTCTCTCTCTCTGCCTCTCATCAAATAGAAAAATAATAATAAAAAAATTAAAATAATTCTTTAAATTTTTTTAGAGGACTTAGACTTACACTGCAGGAACTCTTATCCTAGTTACAGATAAACTGAATCTTCACATTTTAATATAACTTGCCTTGGAGACTCGTCTGTACCTGAACCACTTACAAAGTTACTTCTCAATCAGTTATGTCATAAGGTTCCAGGGCAGAGGTTAGGTATGTAATAAAACAGACCATCTCAAAGCATGATTAAAATATTTTAAATACATATGTAATAAAAGTAGAAAAGTTATTAACACACATGTCTTGAGATCCATAAAAATAAGGATCAAATGTCACAAATGATATGACCTGTCCTCATTATTACTTTTCACATACTTCCAAATGAGCAAGAACACCTTCTGTTTTCCTCTCAGGGAAAAGGTAGGAAGGGTGAAAAGAATTACAAATAAGTCATTGATTTTTATCAAGAAGCTCTGATTCATACTGGGAAATGCGACCAACCTGAGAGGGCACAGAACTAAAAATAAACGGGTTCCAGTCTTGATTCTAGCTAATGGCTGGGCCACTATAGGCAAATTTCTTGACCTGTCTGAGCCCCAGTTTTCCTGCTTGTACAATGAACATATATTAGTGGAATCGTGAGTTCCTTTCCAGCTCTCATGACACCATCATGTTATTTCAAAATATGATCTGTCTGATTCTTACAAAGAAACTGTCATAGCAGTTACAATCCCTGATATTCCCACTACTATATACTTATTATGTACAGACCTACATAAACAAGAAAGCTAGAAATAAAAATAAATTTTATATTACATATATTTTTCATGGATATTATATATTTTTATACTGAATTTTAAATAAATGATTCTTTAACTCCATAAGCATCCAATCATAAATTCACATGTATTCCCTACAGCAGTTCGACATGGAGACCTTCTATATCCAAACTGATGAACAGACCTCTGGAGCATATGCTTCATTATTACCATATGTTTTGGCTTTCTTTGTGTGTAGGAAATTGTATTACTTACCCTTTGCATAAGTAATAACACATCGTACAGGTCTTCTGGAAGGATTTTTGCATGTCTGATGGCATTTTCTGATGGCAATCATGGTTTACCAATGTCACTACTAATTTAACATAAGTATGCTCTTAAAAGAAAATCCAAGAGACTAATAAAGCCATCAATATTTGTAAAATAACTTTCATTTTAACTACTTTTGAATTAGAAACATGAGATGATTTCTTCATGAACACAATGGAAAGAAACTCAACAGAAATACCAATAAACATCTGGCCAAGGCTCAGTTCACACGGCAACTGAGTATGCAGCCTAACCAAGCTTCAAAGGCTTGAGGGTCAGCTGAAGAGTCTGGAAGCTGTTGCGTCCTTTACAGGAAATCCCTATAACTGTTTTTTACATAGGTTTATGTCCTTTTTTCTCTCTAAGCACCATATTTAAACCAGTCTAACAACCTAAAGAACAATGAGAAGATGCCAGTAAATGATATGTTCACTTAGTCCAAAGAAAACATTTATCTTAAATATTTTCATTAGCTTTATCCCAAAAGGCATTTAAATGTAATATTGGGGGGAAAATGCCTTTGTTAACTTATTCAATTCTAATGTAGTATTCAATAAGATGAAAAGACACACTATTGTATAAACAATCTTTCTCTGAGAGCAGGGGTCAGTTAGTATATACATCTTTCTTGATATGGTAAAACAAAGTCAACCTGACTTTATCCAAACCTTTCATACATAAACATGTGTATGCACGTGTACTCATTCATGGACACACAAGCTTACACACACATCCCACCCCATTCAACACTGTTAGAGGCTGTCAAAATAGATACTCAATAAATATTTGTTAAAACATCTAAAACGTGCCAATACATCCCTCATAACAAACTCATTTTGTGTGATAAAGTACAGAGATCAACTTGCATGACTTTTCCAAACAAAAGAATGTCAAGGTATTTTCCTTTAAGCATCAGGGGAAACAGGTTAGTTCTGTCTTTTCTTATTTTCTTCAGTGTGATAGTCTACTCTCTGCCTTTATTTGTAACATACAAGTGTCAAAGCATGCAATGAAGAAAGATCCCTGAGTGTTATGCCAGACCAAGCACTGGAAAATGAAAATAAAATGTACTGGGACCAGCAAGTAGAGTAATGGCCAAGGCACTGGACTCCCACATGGTCAACTGCAGTTTAAATTTCAGACCCAGTGACAAGAAACTCACACCAGGTTCATTTGTGTATGCCCAAAATCCCAAGAGGAGAATGGAGAAGAAGAGATTGCAGCATGGCCATCCTCCCAAGGGATGATTTTTTTTTTTACTTTCTGTTTCTCTGTCTCTCTGGCAAATGTGCATCCTATGGCAAAAATCTCTCAAAAAAATGAAATATATCTTCAGGCTTTAACCACTTACACCACTTAAATCTAGTCAAGTATCAGTCTGAAAACAAGTGTGTTCTTTTTAAAAAAAAAACACAATTTAATTAAACATAATGTCAGTTTATAAATTTAAGTGAGTTTTAAGTGGAGAAGGAGAAAGGAAATGTGAGAAAGAACTTATGGCATGTTAGGTTTCATCATTTTATACATATGAAACTATTTCCATTTTTTTTTAACAAACCTACTTCTTTTACTCCTGCTTCTACACCTTCCACCAAGATTAAAGATAGCCTTGTAGTGATTAAAAGAACTCATCTGCCTCAACTCTAGTTCAGTCGTTTCCAAATCCCCCCACCCAAGCATCATACATGAAAAGTACATATGATACTCCCCCAGAAAAGCATTTAAATCTTGATAAAGCCAGGAAAACTAAAACATGCACATCAAATGCAGGCACCACCATAATTTTCATTTGTCAGCTATGAAGGCTGCCTCAGGGAAGTGGAGCACCACTTGGTCAACTATATCATGAGACAAAGGGCAGTGTATGAATCATTCTTGACGAACTAACCATTATCCGGCCTCTTTACCACTGGGGGTAAAACTATTGCTATAAGTGAATGATAGTGGTATCATTTTAGAGATAAATTTTAATTTCTCTTTTCAAGGTAAATTATACATGATTTCTATAAAATGATTTTATTTGTCTTAAGTGACTTATGTAAACATTACTTGCTGCAAGTTTCACAACTGATTAAGAAGCCAGCTGATACAGGGTAGAACTGGGATTTGACTGAGATGACCAAAGTTTTTACCCCCTCCTAAGCATGTTACCACCTTGGCAGGCAGTCTACCTCAGAGGTGCCTGAGCTCTTTCTGGGCTATATTTAACATTCTACAGAGAAAGACGAGAAACAACCAACCTTCCCAGTGAGTATCTATTCTCCTCCTAATCCTCTGGCTCATTTAAATATCAGAACATTGCTCATCATGTTCCTAATACTTTTGTTTGTTTGTTTTTATTGCTACAGGGTATGTGTGTAGAGAAACAGAGACAAAGAGAGGGAAAGTGAGAAAGTACCCCCTGGGGGGGTGACTACATCGAAATTCCTTCTTCTCCACTCTTCTCTTGGGACTTTAGGCATGAATGCACATCCACCTGGTACGTTTTTCAGGTCACCGAATCTGGGACTTGAGCTACACAGTTGGCCATGTGAGATCCAGCTGCCTTAACCACCACACCCTCTAGCTAGCCTAGTGTTCCCAGTACTTTCTGGGGTCAGCTTTAAGAATACCTCCCAAACAGTCAAGATGTCAAGGTGAACTGAACAGTCAATTCAACGAATATTTCCTATTAAGACATGAATGGGAGTTCTTATTATCATTAAAGGGCATATATTTAAACCCCAGCTCTAGCAGCAATTTTCTTTTCAACTATCTG